CCTGGGGGTGGGTGTGCAGGGTGTTTCTTCATGGAGATGCTGGCCCTCATGGGCCCTCCCAAGGTCAACTCTAGGGTGTAGGTCTCCTGTCTTGTTTCTGTTAACTCCAGCCCAGGAGGGTGTTTGTAGCCTCCACACTGCACAAGAAAGAGAACTCTGTCTCTTTCCCTTCCTCCCCAACCCTGCCCCAGCTAGCCAAGCCCTTTTCTCTACTTCTCTTCTCTTTCCCACGACGCAGCTGGGTATTCCTCGGTGAGACTGCCAGAAAGAATGTTCTTAGTTCCCCTTCCCTCTTCTCCCCAAAGCCTCAGCCCTAGGAAGAAATGAAGCTGCATTGCCAAGGTGCTGCTCTGGGTAAATGCTGTACATTTCCTGTCTTTCTGAGACCCATTTCCTCCCAGACGGCTCTCCCTTACTCTGTGCTGATGGAATGTTTAATTATTCATTCAAAAAAGATTAATTAATCACTCATGAAACATTGTGCTAGAAGCCTCAGGAGCATCTGAGAACACCTGTTTCTCAAGAAATCTTGAAACATGGTGATCATTTAAGGGTGACGGGTGAATCTCTCCTTAGGCTAACTCCCACTGACAAGTACAGGCTTCCTAGAGAAGCTGAGACTAAGGCATCTCCATGGGACCGAGTGCTGTGATAGAAGAGGGATGACTACACGGACACAGATAGGGAGATGCCAGCATGGTAAGACCAGGTACTTCTCACCACGGAGGTGCAGAGCTCCACAGACCACTGAGTGAACTTGGGCTAGTCTTCACTCCCAGCAACTTCTCAAGCAACTTAACCTCTGGAGTGTCTAATTAAATATTTTAACAAGTGAATGATAACCTGTGAAACCAGAGACCCTAGCCCATATAGGTATGCTAATTCTAACACTGAATATAGTACAGGTGGGGAGAAGCTAACTCAAGAATCAAAATAATTACAGTACCAGGCAGAATAGATTGTAAGAGCAATAAAAAGGATGGGTACCAAGTGTCATGGGGATGCAGAGTTACTTTCAATGAGATGATTTGCCCGGTCTTGAAAGCTGGGGGCTTGCTGGGAAAGAAGAGACAACCTGAAGTCGGGATGAATGGAAACAGAAGCGTGGCGCATGTTTATGAGTCTATGGTAACATGAGAGAAGAATGGAGGGAAGGCTGGAGCAAAAATAAGAGCCTTGAATTCCTGGTGATTTTAATAAAATTTTAATAAAACAGAGACATCTCTCTAGCAAAGTCATTTCACAGCAAACTAGTACAGTTTTTGTTTGCATTTTAGAGGAAGCCAGTAGCTAGAAGCACATTTCTGACCAGAGTTCTACGTGGGCTAACTGCTGGGTTATGTGGGTAGTTGGTACAGGAGCATCTTCTTCCTTCTTAAGGAGCCTAATCAGCCATGACAAAAGTTACCATTTTTGAGTGCTTTTTATGTAATAGGCACATGAACAGACTTCAGTTGAGTATATCGAGGCAGTCACCACTGTTACAGGAGATGAGCTTTCAAGAGCTCATCTGTTCAGTGTCACAGAGCAGTAAGAGGTTGGGACAAGGCTGGCACCTCTGAACCCAGAATGCTGACACCAAGCATCTACTTCATTAAAGCTGGGTCAGTGAAAGAAACACCTAGACTAATAGAACAGGGGCCCTGGACTGCTTCTAACTCGAGACTGCACATACATGAAAAAGTCTAAATGACACTGAAAATATGTATAAAGGATTTTCTTGTTTTGTGGTCAATTAGCATTCATTCTTGTCTGTAATAAAATAATGGAAAATGCTTAACTGAAATGTGGGTCTATTTTTCATTGATTATTGATGTTTCTGGTCAAACCATTCCCCCTCAAGACTTTAAAAGGATTCCTCTTCATTACAGGTCACCTTTAACCCCTCTTCCCTCTCCTTTCAGGAGTTACTTCTGCAGGAGTAGATGCCATGACAGAAAAAAAAATAAAAATAAAAACTGATGGTATCTGGTGTGCTTACCTCATTTTTAATAGGATTTTGTGGTTCAGGGTGAGTCTTTATTTTAAGCTGGAATAACTCTTAGGCTCTATGCAGGGTTCACTGGTCTGGACAGTCCCTCCTGAATACAAAGGATGCTCCAGTCACAAAACATACTGAATTAAACAATACAAGTCACCTCCCTCCAAGCAAATGATAGAATTTTGTCCCAGAAACAAGTGAGAATAAAGACTGAAAGGTGGAGTGTGAACATCTCAGGACGGATGTTCAAAATCTAAGCCAAAAAGAATACAAACCATTTTCTCAGGATTCCTCATGTCAACATTGTGAATTACTTCACTGTTCATATTAATTTTTAGACAATCTCTTTTAGGAGGAAACAGGCTAGTTACATCAGATTGAACCACATAAAACTGCTAACCAAGATGGGTCATTTCACATGAATCAACTTAATAATCATCTTAGCAATGTTTTCTATATTCACTTTTCAATTTAAATGGAGATCTTGGGTTGTAAAAATAAAATGAGAAAACACAGCACATACTAATTCTTAATAAATTGTTTATCGAATCTTTAAGTATACAAATCCTAGTGATCTGATAGCCTTGCAAGCATCTTACATGCACGCATGTGTGCGTGTGCTCAGTTGCAAGGTCGTGTCTGACTTTTTATGACCTGTGGACTACAGACCACCAGGCTCCTCTGTCCATGGGATTTTTCAGGCAAGAATATTGGAGTGGGTTGCCATTTCGTTCTCCAGGGGATCCTCCTCAAACCCAAGTCTCCTGCATCTCCTGCATTGGCAGGCGGGTTCTTTACCTATGAGCCACATGAGAAACCTCAACTTACACATACTAGGTACAAACCATTCTAATGTCAGGGTGAATGCACTTTAACACTTTCAAGTTTAATTTCACTGACTCTGAAATAATAAAATAAAAATTCCGTTTGACTTTATATTTACACTTTTATTAGAATTCTTCAGAACTGTGAACAATTGGACAACATATCAGGAAAAAACACATAGAACATCAACATCCTTTAAACTTGCACCGCTTACATATTTACACATAAAGTTACTGTATATATAAAAAATATTTTCAAGAACCCATGGGCTTGGGAATATTCAAAAGACATTATTGCTACATTTCAATATTTACAAAAAAAAAAAAAAGCCACAAAATAATTTCAAACATTAAGCTACTGCAAAGAAACATCAGATGTAAAAAAAAAAAAAATTATAAAAATATAAACTTTCAAGAATATCCAAGACAAAACTCTCAGTGAAGTGCCCCTGAAGTACCTAGACATCTACAGTTAACAACCACTTTTCTTACTATAACCAAAGTCAATAGAAACGCAAAGGAAATTTCCATACAAAGTGTGGCAAACAGCAAAAACGTCTTACATTAGCAACAAAACGCCCCAACCTGTTACCTTTGGAAAGGTGCGAGAAAATAGAACCCCAGTGCAAATGGTTACTTTCAGATAAATGGCCACAGTTCTCTACATGAACACAAAGAGACCTGGAGGGGAAAACCTTGAGGGCAGCATACCTGAATCTTGCAAGACAACACATAAACCTTGCCATGTACCCATGGATCTCCTATAATTGGGTAGAGGCAAAAAAAAAAAACCAAAAAACAAATCAGGTAACACTAAGAATAATATTCAGTAGAATATTTCAGTAGGAGAGTAGCATTAATAAGGTCTAAGGAACAGGTACAGCATGGTGAGTATAAGCAACAGAGTGCCTTAAGTGCAGGTGGATTGCAAATAAATATGGACTTAAGCACTCCTCTGTGGAAGCTTTTGGTAAGCCTCTCTACACAGCAAGGTGAAGTGAAACAAAAGCTGGGCTGCTGCTGAAAGCAGGCTGCTTCTTGGGTGCTGAACCACCCTCCTGGGCTCAAGGTAAGACTACTCCCAAAGTATTTTGTCTACAAGCATACATACACACGCACTCATACACACTTATATAGATACTGGCCAGGTGTCCAGGACATGCCTGTGATGGAGGCTGAATCTAAAGTTTATTTTTGGCTACAGAAGAATCCAAACTAAGATAGCACTGGTTGTCACTCCTGCCACAGTCATGCAATAAATCACTTTTTCAAATGGCATCAAATCCACTGAACACGATGACATTCTAAAGCTGGTCGGCTTGTTCTGGACAATCTCTAGAGCAAGTTCATCGGCTACAAAAGGAGATTTTTGTTAAGATTGTGCTTGGCAATAATTTTTTTTTTAAAGCACTGTTTCCTTCAAACTTGTTCTGGCTCATTAGTTATTCCTATACACAGCAGACTTAAGCCAGAATTGTATTCAGAAACTACACCTTGTGGGTTCCCCACCCCTCAAATATGTGAATGTGTACAATTTATAGATGAGTATATACAAAATGCGTTCTGGGAGGCCGTCTCTCCAATTCAGCTGCTATTAGTCAATTTGATTTAGAAACCAGTTCAGAAGCATGAAGGCTCATGCCCAGCAGTCTTTATTCAGGCCCGGAGAACATTTTTCCATGGCCTATGTCTAACTCCCAGCATGAAATACTAGATTTCTTGAGCCCAGATATTCATAGGCTTCTGGCCTTTGAGTAACATTCTATTTTCCGCATCAAGGGATAAGGTTTCAGCTTCTAGTCTTGCTGCATCATCATAGCATCATGGGTGATTATGAGGAATGAAGGTGACTACTGCCATGTACTCCAACTATCAACTACACTTTTCGATAGAAATTGGAGAAACCTTTGGGAGGACTCAGTGTGTCTAGCCCATCCCACCCTCCCTTTCTCCAAGTCTGAAGTTTCCTCCTTAGCAGGGGCTAGTGTGCTATTAGGAACATAGGCAGCTCGATGGTAGCTGATGACAAAAATCATCGGCCACTAAAGGGTGCTCATAAAGACAGGATTACATCAGGGTGTCTACTACCCTGGAGTAGGATTCGAGTCGAAGGAAAACAAAGGAACCATTGTGAAAACCAAAAGAGTTGGGGGGGTCGGGGTTGTCAGGAGACCCCCCCGGATGCAGACTCTGCTTCAGACATCTTCGTGGACAAGCAGAGGCTGCGTGGAGGAGGCGCTGCTACCCACGGAGTTGATGCGCACAGAATGGTCCACCGCGGGGTTCTCCCGGTGGGGGCTGCAGTTTGCTAAGTTGGAATAAATCTGAGGAAAATAAATCCACAGTCAATACGCCAGTCCCCACAAGGAACAAAGGGGCACATGTGTAGCTTAGGAACTGCAAATAACTTAGGAAGATTCTCACAGCCAGGAGGTTGACAAGGCCTTACAGCCAAGAACCGAATCACACGGACCAGTTTTATCCCTCATTTTCCCATGGTCTGATTATGTAAGAGGTGATAGTCCAAAACGTGCTTTTCTGCTGGGACGCATCTAGGAATGAGAACGATCTAACTTTTTAAAAGGCACATAAATTTCTGTAGCCAATTCCCATCTAATGGCTGATGTCATTCACTAAGAAATCGGTGGTTCTTCCATTGAGAACCAGGCACTTGGGTGTGAAATGCTGTCTAATTTGAAATGTGCTTTGACACCGGAAGAGCAAGTTTCAACCTGAAAGTATCAACGGTATAATCTTAAGAAAAAGATAGCTCCAAGCACAATCCAGAAGAAACAAGCAGCTTAAAAAAAAAAATCTGAGTCGACATAAGGATCACTCATTCTTCCTTAAAAGCAAAAGAAATCATCAATTTGAGTTCTGAACTCCCCGCTTCTCAAATCACTGGGAGGGATCCCTCAACTTCAAGCAACTCTTCATTCTCTATGGTTTGTGGCCTTGAAAGGTATCTGCCATGTTCTGGTTATACTTACTTGAGCAGAAGGTTTATTTTACTGCAGGGAACAAGCTGTCTAGAATGCACCTTACCCCAAGCCTCCAAAGGCTGAATGGCCTGACATGCGAGAGAGAGATGATGCAAACCCCCATGACCAACAACTTGGGGTGGAGAAGGAAAAGTGGAAAATCCTTATGGAAACTTTTATGTCCACACTGCTGAGCGCCAAGCCCTCCACTCTTTCCCCTCTTCATCTCATATCCCTTGGCTCAGAGTAGGGGGCTAGGCAAGAAGAACTTGTTTCCATTGCTTCCCTTTCCTACTCAATTTATAGCCTAAGTGAAGGAGAGAAAGGGTGGGTAGCTTAGGCCTCACCCCCAGATCCTGAGAAGGAGGACATGCTTTGGAACCAAGAGAACGGAGGTCCTATGCCTGAACAGAGTGTACTCACATGATTGGTGCTCTCTGAAATCTGCTTCTCAATCAGCTGCACAATCTGCTTAAATGTTGGCCTCTTCAAGGGATCAGCATCCCAGCACGTCTTCATGATGTCATACCTGCAACACCAGGGCCAATTATCACTCCGCAATGCCCTTAACTGATTTACAGGTATATGCCATTCAACAATTTCAAACCTAATTCTAGGGCTACACAACTGGACATACTGAATGACATGGATATAAAATAAAACTGTGTGTACTGAGACTCTGCCAAAACTTTGTTTATTTGGTAGCAAGTTTTATGAAACTCAGTGACAGAAATAGCATTTGCCCTATGTCACAACAAGGAACCAAGTGACATTTCAAACTATGCTTAGTGAAAACCCTTAACATACGGGTTTCTGTCTTTAAAAAAGGAAAACAAAAGAGGAAACGTTATCTGAAGGAAGGACATCTGGGCCCTTACATTTCCGCAGGTGCATGCTCGGGGCTGAGCATTCGGAACCCTTCCTTGATCATCTTGTAGAACTTAGAATCGACTGGCATTCCAGGGTAGGGGCTGCTTCCTGAGGCACAAACAGTTTGCAAATCAGCATGACAATAAGCAAGGGGAGCACCGTACCACCTTAAAGAAGCCACTCTGAGTGTGACCAAGGTGCCTTTGGCAAGGCTCACTTTACCTAAAGAGAACAGCTCCCACAGAAAAATCCCATAGGACCAGACATCACTTTCAAATGTGTACACACAGTTGAAAATACTCTCCGGTGCCATCCACTTCACAGGGAGTCGAGCCTGCAATGGAAGCACAACAGATCCAATAATGTGAATCACAAAGCTAAAAAAATCAAAAACTGAAAAGAAAATATTCCTATAGAGAGGTAGGGTGAGAACCTGATGGGCATCTCACAAAGACCTTCTAACCCATATGACCTCAGAGCACCCTGATTGCCTCTGAGAATTATGTTATGTGTGGTTTTTTTTTTAGTTTGGGGTGGTTTTTCTTTTGCGGGGTGGAGTGGGAACTGAACCCAGGCCTTGTCAGTGAAAGCCCAGAATCCTAACCATAGGACCAGCGGGGAACTCCTGTGAATTACGATTTTTTACTTTTTTTCCGACTACCTCTGACATAAGTGGATCACCAGTAGAGCTGGCCCCTGAACAATGAGGGTCTGAACTGCAAGGGTCCACTTATACAAGAATATTTTTCAATAATAAATGCTACATGATCCATGCTTGGTCGAATCCAAGGACGTGGAGGAACCATGGATATCGAGGGCTGGCTTTCATTTATACTGAGATTCACTCCTGCCCTGTGCAATGGTCAGCTGTATACTATCTTCTGGAGTGGGTTGCCATTTCCTTCTCCAGGGGATCGTCCCAACCCAGGGATCGAACCTTGGTCTCCTGTTCTGCAGGCAGATTCTTTACCGTCTGAGCTACCAGGGAAGCCCCAGTACTATCTTCATTTTCAAGATGGGCGTCACTGAGTCTGTACAGCCTGGCGTTAGGAGCACAGATGTTGGAGACAGACGCTTGGGTTCTAACCTGGGCTCCACTGCTGGCCTTGTGTAACAGAGGTTAGTCACCAAAGAAGGTCAGTTACCCTCATCCCTTAACAGAAATGTGGCCTCCCAGGGTACGGACCACATCACGCAGCCCCTTCAGAGCTGTGTGCAGCCCCTTCAGAGCCATGTGCAGCCACGTGGCTCGGCTTTGGCCACTGAGAACTGTGTGACAGCTTCTGGAAAACTTCCTTAATGTGAGGTTGGCATGTGTCCTGTGGCCTTTTCCTTCTTGTCTCTTCCTCCATTGTCTTGCCTTCTGGATATGTTGGCTGGCTTTCTTGAGGCCATCGTGGACCATGAAGCTAAGGGCCACACCAGGGATGGTATAAAATGGAAAGGTTGAGGAATTTGCTCCCTGGTATAGAACCTCCCTACCAGGCCTGGCCTGCAACTCCTATACTTATTTTACTTTCCTTTTGGGTGTTCTGTCAAATACAGCCACAATTATCCCTTACTAACACACTGGGAACATCACATACATCTGTTATAGAAGCCTCAGGATATTCTTATGGCAAGCGAAAATCATACCTCAAATTCCATGAGTTGTCTTGTGGGTTAAATGAGATAATGTAGGTACCAGTGCTTAGTTTGGTATGGCTGATTCACTAGGATCTGAAAAATTGCCCTGTACAAGCAATCACTCAATAAGACAGCAGTGGCTTATGCTGACTATGACTATTCCAATGTGGTAAGTGGCAGATTCAGAGTTTAAATTCAACAGTTGAACTTCACATGCTGAACTCCTCCCGCTAAACATCCAGCCAAACTTTCTGTGACTATTACTCTTAGAGACATTTCTAGATTCTTGGATCTTAATTCACCACAGAAAGCTAAATCAACCCTTCCCATAATCCACTTAGGACCCAAAACTGGGAAGACAATTTTTTTCTGGTCTTAAAGTTATTTTAGTCAGTAGGAAAAAAATAAAAATGCTTTTCAGTATCCCCTCCCAGATTTTGTGCTAAAGTTCTTATAGGGGCTCTTAACCTGAGATTTATTAATAAAAGGTGTCTTGAAATCAGAGGTGCTGGGGTCATCTTTACCAAATATTACATACCCACTAAATGACAGAACCAGGTTCGAACTCAGCAAGACGGGGCCCGGAACCCACTAGCCTTTTGTCAATATTCAAAGGTCTGGATAGAGAGTGACCTTTCATTCTTCCTTCCAGTAGTACACCAGGATGGCGGGGACTTGGTGTTATTAACACTCCTAGCCTTAGCAAGTTATTATTATAGAAACGCATGCTGTCATCAGAAAGTAAACCCAGCAACATTTCTACAAAAACGAAGTCTAGTACAGCCCACCCACAGAGACGCCTCAGTGATGGAGAAGGAAATATTACATTATGTGTAGGCACACAAATAGCTACCTCTAGGAATAGCTCTGGACTGAAGATATGGGCCTGGGAAAATAGATGGAGAAAAATATATGTTCAGGACTACTGGCTTCCCATACTAATGGGATATTGCTCTGGGAATCACAGGCTCTGGTTTCAGCCTCTACTGATCCGTGTCATCTCAGACAAATATCACTAAAATACACTGTGCTTTTAGCTTCCCCAACTTTTAAAATGTGAAGACTCTGCATTCTAATGCCAAGGGGGTTGCCCTGATGATACAATGAAAATTGGCAATGAAATAAAGCACTTTGAAATAAAATCACTATGTTCCATAAGCCAATTATTCCTTATGAACGTCTTTAATGAGCTCTCTTCATTATAAGATCCAACATTCTATATGCCTAATTCTGAACATTATCTTAGATTTTAATCTTTTTCACATAGACTGTCAATCTCAAAATAAAATTTCCTGCTGTGACCTTCAGGTCCACATTTGTTTCACTTGAACAAAATCGAGTTCATTGCTATTCTCAAGCTATAATGAAAATTAAGGCTATTTCTGTTTCCTTCACATGCCCCATAATTACACAATTAGAATTAGGAATTCTATTATTGGAATTTTGCTAAGTATACTTAATTTGACTGCTAAAACGCATGATATCGCAAAGGTAGGATGTGCATTATGAAAATCATAAGACAATATTTAAGAAAACTTGAAACAAAAATCCTTCACTGGACTGTCAAGAGAGTGGGTACTCACGTTTCCTTTGACCACATAATTAGAATCATTCTTGATGTCTCTGGCTAGACCAAAATCACAAATCTTTGTGATTCGACCATGAGTAAGGAGGATATTTCTGGCTGCCAAGTCTCTATGAATACACTATTAGGAGAGCAGGAGACAAAGAAAACCATTTACATTTATTTTAAACTTTTTAAAGAGTGAGAGCTATATTTAATGCTAGAATGCTGCTTATGTTATATAGCACCAATAGTTTTGCTTTACATTTAAACTATTTGGTGCACCAAAAATAAATATCTAGATTACGCTTTGAATGATGCTCAAATCTGTGTTTTACATTGTTAGGACTTTAATTACTATAATTGCTTTCAAAACCAACTTGAATAAATGCTCCCCTCCCCCCCACTTAGGACTGCTTTCATTTTACATGCTTATCTTTGAATATGTCCTTTTAAAAAGAGTTTCTAAAATGTCTACAACTTGAATTTGACCCCTCCAAAGGACAAAGGGAAGAGGCTCTTATTTCAGTCATCCTATATCCTCTTTTAGTTTGCTAATTGTTTGGAAATGTCACCAATGACACTTACGGGTAGGATCTGTAACCTCATCCTATTCTGTTAGCCTGGTTTCCTAAGAAATTCCTCTCACCCTTCTAGAGACCATGTTTCTTCTTTTGGTTCCTTCATTCTCTTCCTATCCTCAACCTTCTGATCAAATGTTTATTACTCTCTCTCGATTCCTTACTTCCCCAGCACTTGGTAAACCATACATGCGATATTTGAGGTCTAACTTCAAAAAGCCTCATGTATGTGCTTCATCAAGCACTGCAACTACAAGAGATACCCTTTCCTTTGGCTGATAAAATAACTATCTCTTTATTTTCTAAGAGCAGCTCCTATATCCTAAAAGCCAAATTCTAAATGAATTCATTGCATATAAAAAATATATTCATAGAAAGCTCATTTAGACAGGCTTGCACTTTAAAACTTATGAGAACAGGAATTTCAAAGAGACAGCAGTTGGAACATGAAGAAGCTATATTTCCTCTGCTTTTGGTTACCACACTTCAAGCAACACTCTGCATTCTAACTATGGCTCTAAATACTCCCTGGGGGTGGTGGGGGCAGGGACAGGACCCCTCTGAGAATGACCCCCACTTACATTCTTTGAGGCAAGGAACGCCATGCCCTTTGCCACCTGGTAAGAAAAGCTCAGCAAGTCCTCCAAGTCCAGGGCCAGCTCGTCATCTTCCATGATAGCGGGAGTCACGTCTCTTTCTATGTATGAGCCTGTGAGGAGAAGAAGGATCTTCTTAGCAATTAAAACCTTAAATACAGAGAGAGTAAAAGACAGTGACAACACCGCCAAGGGCTGGTAATCGGGGAACTGATGTGAACTTGCAGGCAAATCCTCTCCCCAGGGTTAAGGACAGGAAGGTGCTGAATCACAAATTAATATTCCCAATCCTGGGCTAAGTTACAAAATCTTTAAGGAAGAAGAATGGTGGATGAACACAAAAGTCTCATATTTTTTATATGTGTCTGATGTATTTTGATATTCATACGTTATCAAATATAAAACAAGATGCTCAGATACAATAATACAGGCTCTGACTCCAAATACCCGCTTACCCTGATCCTACTGTAAAGAAGAACCAGTTACTACCAGGGTGGTGTTAGATTCCATGGTGATATGAGAAACTCTGAGTCAATGAGATTGTTCTTATTGTTTGATAGGTACCCACCTATTCTTGCAGATCTCCTCTTGTCTGCCTTGGTTGGTACAACATAAGAAACTCCAGGTTTCATGTCCATGTACTCATTAGTACTATCACTGCTGCGAGAAATGAAACATCCATCAAATCACGAGTAAATAAAACAGAAGATGGGTGAGCACACGAGAGGCAGGCTCTCTCTCCACTTCCTTTTTCACATAAGAAGCTGATTTTATTTAAAGAAAGTACTGACAAGTTTGAATGAAGAAAATCTTGTTCAGTAAGATATGAGTTTTTAATATTCAACATTCGGGTCCAATCCCTAGGAATTAGATGGCCTTTTTTGTATTCAACTGTAGAGGGGACTCTGGTTAGAAATTTCCTATCTCTTGACACCAGGGATTTAATGAGAAACACAGAACCAAAACCATTATCCCACATCACTTCAAACTCTCTAAATTAGCCTCAAGAGAGATAAGATGAAAGAGACAAGAAAGAGACAAAGAACCAGAGTTTCTGAGATGTGTTATTAGTGGGGGAAGACAGGGATCGTTAACATATAGCGACTGATGGAAGATGGTTTAAAAAAACCAAGTTTGGTTCAGATAAACACCAATAATTTGGATGATTTTCTGAACCATCTGGACCTCTTGAATCTGTAACATTTGGCTGGAGAGTCTTCAAGATTTCTGGTACTTCCTGCTTCTGATTAGCATAGAAACACCATGACAACAATCTCCTTCACAGCATGCTGGTGGTTCCAATCCCATATGGGATCCCAAAGCACAAAAAACACTACACAGAATTGAACTATTTAGGCCATTATTACAGAAAATCAAAAAATATATATGGGGCCAAGGTTTTAGAAATAAGGCAAAGTGGTTCATTTATTCACATAAAGAGCATATGTGTCAGAGAAACAACCAAACGTGGTTTGGTTTATATTGTATTTTACTGCCACTTGACACCACTCAAAGTTTACAGGATTGAAAAATAAATAAAAAGTTTCATCTAGGGTTTAAAACTTCAGCCAGAGGTACAGAAAAACACTTTAAGAGGTAATCGCCCATCAACCATATTTATCGAGGTCGCTTTGAGGGCCTGGGGTTAAGTTCAGGAGATAAAGTCTTGCCTTCTCAAAATGTAGGGTATATGGTAAATAAGAAGGAAAGAGGAAACCCATCACACAACTGCAGAGATAACATGTTTAAGGGATTGGGCATGATGACTATGATTCTGCTGGGCTGCATACATCTAGAAAACCTTAAATGGTGGATCTTAACAAACACTTCGAAAGAAAAGGCACAACACGGCAGAGAATTCTATTCTGATCATAAACTACACCAATTCTTCTTAAAGGAACTTGAAACTCTTGACATATTCAAATTCAGAATGGTGTCAAGGATAAAAGAGATGAAAATAAGGTGCAGAATTTTAAAAAATGTGCTACAGTAGTTGTGCCTCTTGATAGCCTAAGTTAAGGAAAAAGAGGGCAAGGAATACAGGAATAATTCCGAGGTAGATGGAGAGAAACCCTGGTACGGAGAGCTGTGTGGAGCTCCCTGCCATTTTGTCAAAGGTTTAAGGGAATTCACTGTGATAACCTGGCAGCCTTTCCCATGTTCCCTAGAAACAGTGCCTCACTCTAAGATGCACAGAGGATCCTGCTGGACAGTATAACAGACTGACGCACAATAAGAACCACGGTAAGAGAAACAGGCACAGAAATTATACAGGACCCGGGCTCAACAGCATAGACAGACTGACACGCAGGGAAGAACCATTCCAAGAGAAACAGGTACAGACCTCATTCAGCTAGGAGAACTAAGGCTCAGAAAAACACTAAAGATACATTTTTAAAAATCAACACAAACTTAAGTTCAAGACTATTTGAATCTCTAAAAACAGTTTGAACTTTCTAAACCGTTAATCACATTTAAATGATTTAATAATTCTGATTTTGCACCTCAAAGTACCTCAGTTCACTTTTTTAAAGAATCAGCCTTGATTGCAAACCCTTATGACCCCATGAACTGCCTGTCAACAGCTATTTATGTAAATCAGTCTTACCAGGAAGACTCCTTTGAATGAAGAAGGTTCTTATAAAGCGCCACTTCGGTGTGATCTTCCTGCTTTGAGCAAATAAATGAATCACGCTTTCTTCTCAAAAAATTCAGAAGATCACCATAGCAACAATATTCCGTAATGACCAGGGTGGGCCCTATGAGCATTTAAGAGACGGTTAGAGGGAGGTGAGATATACAGACCATCCAGTCTTCCATAAAAATACTCAAGGGCGATCACAGCCACTCACATCCAGGGTCAATGCTAAGCCTACCAAATACGAGTACAATCCTATCTATGAACACTGCTCAGCAGAACGCGGGATTCTGTGGAGGAAAACTAAACCACCTTTGTAACCTGAATTTCTGCCTGATTAGGGGTCAGGAATGACTGCTGGTTTTAGACAGGAGTTACAGCTTTCATCATTAGTTACCAAGCTTCCTACGTGGGTCCTCTGATTCACTTGTTTACAGAGAGGGCTTCACGCCTTTTGTAATGTTATTATGGAAATGATGATGAGCATAAGCACAAAGAGCAGCATGATAGGAAAACCAACCACTGGAACCGCCAGCTGAGACTGGAAGGTGGGGAGAAACCCTGAAGAGGAGGGCCATCACGTGTGTTTGGGGCCCTATCAGTTGAACTTTTGTTTTCTTTCCCTGTTGTAAAAGCCTAAAAAACTATAGCTCTGAAGTCATTTAACAGACAACTAATTAACTTGGGCAAAAATCTTTCATGAACAATTCATGATGTCGGTGAAGCAACATTTATGGGGGCTGTTTTAAGAAATCACAGAAAGCTGTCAACTTGACCGTGGATCTCTCCAGATCTTGAGGAATGGTTCATTTTAACGCATCTTTGTTCCTTTAGACCAAAATGTTTTCTGGAAACATCATAGAAAGCCTTGATGGGAGGACTAATGAATGCTTTAAAACGGAAATTTTCTTTTTTTATCAAAGTGAAGTCTTTGCTCATTTGCTGTAGATTTGAGGGTTGGTAGGCTTGGAGGCCTATTTTTAATGATAGCATGCACATGAACATTAACTCTTCAGTGGCTAAATGCCATCCAGCCTATATAAAAGCTCGCAAGATGAAAGAAAAGCTTTCTGGAGGAGATGAGACATTCTCAAGATATTCAAGAGGTCAATGGTGGTGCGACAGACACGACAGTAACTAGGTATGTCCTGGGCATTCTACCCCATCATGGCAAACACAAAATGTAATTCTTAAGAAGAAGACACATGAACCTGGATCTCCTGCATTACAGGCAGATTCTTTATCATCTGAGCCACCAGAGAAACCCCATATATTCTCATATACATTAAAATACACATTCTTAACATTCAGTGGGGTCGGGGGAAATCCAGCAAGAGGTTAACCACTTGGGTCAAAATCCTTCAAGGAGCTTATAATCAAGCATTGTCAAAAGTCATATCAAAATCTCCCACCTTTTGATAATTTGACCAATTACAAGAGTCAGGTTGGCCATGGCCTTACCTCCAATGGTGCACGCTCCCAGAAGATTCACAATATTCATATGATTACCGAGGTAACTCAAGACTTTGAGTTCAGACATTAGGGCTTCTCGTTCTGTTAAATGGGCGCTTGCTAAAATAAAAAACATCTTATTTTAGCAAAAAGCAAATCTGGGACACTGACGGTGAGCACCCATAACAGCCTGCAGGCACTTACGTTTGAGCATCTTGACAGCAACAGTCATGGCTGCATCCGATTTAATTAAGCCATAAGCAGTGGCCTCAACGACCTTCCCAAAGGCGCCAGCACCCAAGGTTTTCCCTGGAGGAAGGAAAATAGGGGAGTAAGTGGCGGTGGTGGAACTGAAGAAACATTTGTGTCATTTCAAAACCAATAGAATTAGGGACAAATGTGCCAAGATACACTTCCCTACAGTGTACTTGATGCCAAATCTACCAAAGGCAGTGAAATCGCAGAAAAAACCCTTATTGTTTCAGGTGAAATAAAACAAAGAAAGCTACTAGGATTCCATAAAGGCACTGCTATGTGAAAACAAAAAGGTGTCATGGAAAACCCCTGCAGCATACTGACCAAAACTCAGCCTGTTCCTGGGAAATTCCCATTTGTGATCATAAGGAAGTTGTGTTGGGTCTATGTAAACATAATTGTTTCCATTTATCTCTTCAACAACCTTCCACTGTACTTCATACATGGGTTTCTGGTGGAGGGAGAAAGGGAAAGAGGAGTCATCTTTTAATGGTTAATGGTTTTACCATTATAGCATTTGAGGGAGAGAACAAATAAATGGTTACCTGCAAATATTTGTATGTAAGGATCATCACGAAGATACACATTAAACCAGCTGCGATCACAAAACCAATCAGCAACGGCGTGAACAGGGTGTGGGCATGGATTTGTTCTAAAATCAAAGAGGGATGTGGAGTTACAACCTATTTATTAGCCCAGTCGGATCTTTACACAACACCTCTCACCTCCAACTCACCCACCTCCCATACTACCGCTCATCACAGCAGGAGTCAAACCAGGTGCATCTGAGCCCCTGGCCTTGGCTATTATCTTACTCTAGGAATCTTTTAACATAAGCACTTTCAACCAGAAAACTGTGAGAAAGAAGTTGAGATTTCCAGAGCACAAGAATAACGTTAGGCAGTTTTTCAGTAAAAAGTGACATCTGAGTGAACTCTGCACTTCAAATTCCTGCCTTGAACTTTAAGATGTTTCCTTTATGGATGTTTTATTACTCTATTCTTTATGCTTTCCTGTATTTTCCAAATTTTCTACATGAAATATTGAGTGTCTTTCACAACCAAGAAAAACATTTTTTAAAGTGTTCTTTTCATTGCCCTGCCTGGAAAAAAAAAAATCCATGATGAAGAACAATATAGGACTCTTCCCCTCATCACTCAAATACTGAACAAATACCACTTTTTGGTCTTTGCCAACTTAAGGAAACAAAAACCGAACCCTATGAATGTATGCACCCAGTTCTTTTGTCTTCCAACCTCATACCAATTCATCAATTTATCTACAAGATCATTTAACTTATGTTGGGAGAGCTAGTCACTCATGAGTCAGATTTTAAAGATGTTAAAAGAAAGTAGCTCATTAACATGATTTCACAAAAGGTAATGTTAACTTTCTGACATGGTGTCTGGCAATGTGTTAAAATAACTGATTTTAAGTATCAATTTAAATAATTTTTAATTGAATTTAAATTTTTTAATTGTCCTAATTCCGTTTCTGTTAGGGTATAAGGTAAATCTATTTCCCCTATTTTATTTCTCTATCCTTTTCTAATGGAAACAGTTGGAAATACATGATTAATATATATACACACATGCACATGCATACACACATACATACATATGTGCACACGTGCATAAAATACATAAAACACACAAAGAGCATGGTTACTGCACACACTTTATTATCAAACTAGCACAGGATGAAACTTAGTACGTTTGATGACAATCACATGCACAATGTAGATATTACCGGAAATGACATGCCAGTGATGGAATGGACTTAAAAGTCATGATTGAAATGGCAGGCAGAGTCTAAACATCCCCTTAAATTGGATTAAAAAGAAATATACCTTTGCTGTTACCTTTAAATGCAAAGTTAAAATAGGCAGAACTCTTGCCCACATCGTTGTAAGCCCTGCATTCCACCGTCCCATTGTGTTTGAATGTGCTGTCATCAATGGTGCTATGAACCACTAGTTTTCCAAATGGTAAGACAGATGAATTTTGGATCTGTACATCCACTGGCCCAATGGGAACAGAACACCTAGGTGGGAGAAACAGCAGCCCAGACTTACTCTCAAGAGAAAATCAATTGAATGCATTGGATACCACATACTTTTAAAACCAAGTCAGAGATTCATAATCAGATATTCGCTTTTACAAGTGGAAGTGTGATGACAAATGAGCATGTCTGTGGCACCAAGAGCAAGAAAAGCACTTGGAAGAGGAAAAAGAGAAGAGGTTTTGAGGTGAGATGTGGGTTTAAAATCCGGACTCAAACACCTACTCTGTTGACTTGTGAGTAGTACTTAAGTCTCCAAGACTCAGTTCCTACAGCTGTAAAATTGGGGCAGTAATACCCATCTTGGAGGGTTACTGAAAGGATTAGAGATGAATTCAGTAAGACGACTGGCTTCCATCCCTGCACACAGCAGCCATTTATAAATAAAGTAATTGTGAACAGATGTATGCAGGGTTGAAAAGGAAGATGGTGGAGGAGGAAAGCAATAAAGTCTTTAAGGATGAAGATAGGGCCACCCGCACACTCCACAAGTGAGGATGCTCTGGCTCGAAGTGCCATAGAGGGAGATGGAGACAGTGCCTGCTGGGTTGAATGAACTCCAGGTGGCAAAGATCATCAGGAACCAGACTCAGATGACTCTATTTTAAATTATCCCCCAACAGGCCTAGCAATTTTGTTCCCATACCTGGCTTTACTTTCTCCCTTAGCTTGCAACACCTGCATATGGTAGATATCAGTCTTCTATCCATCTCTACTCATGAGAATATAAACTCACTAATGGGACTCAGCTGTGTTTTGTTCACTAGACCCATGTCCAGCATACAGCTGGCATTCCATAAACATTTTCTCAGCAAACATCTACAGCTACTGGGGCTGTGTCCTCTGTGGGCAAACTTTCCAGGGATCCTGAACCTCCCTGCTTCTCCCCCAAAGAAAACACTCAACTAAAACCCAGCTGAGAACAACAGTCTTATGTAACCTTTCTAACTTGCTGTTTATTTTTTTTTAAAAGGGCTATTCTGTGAAAAATGAAATTTCTATTATTATCGTGACTACTCAATTGTGATGTTACACTGGGCTTTAAAGCCTGAGTGTAAAATAGCATTTGATGGATAAAAACAGTGATGCTGACCCCATTTTCGTCTTCAGGTAATGCGAAAGGACAATTTAAGGCTTAAGTGTCGATTGTGAAAGAGAGGAAGTACAATTCCAGATGTACTCTGCTCAGGGGCTGGGCACCTCATCAAGGAGAAAACCTTTTTAAAACATGTAGCTCCCCAGCACCATATGTGTGGTAATTGCGCGATCATTACTTTTTTGGTAACTTGGCAATTAACTTCTCAGGTAATTTTTTTCATGATAACTACAGTCATATTTCCCACACATATTACCTCCTGTGTATACATTGGAAATCTAATTACTCTGTCCTGGGAAATTGCTTTATCTACCTGCAGGCTGGAAATTGCAGGATAAATCCAAAAGATAACCACCGAAATAAAGATGTCGTTCAGTAATCATGTTTCAGCAAACAAAATTAATGTCTACCAAGAAAAATATAGCAATTATGCTCTCTAAAAAGCCACATGGATAAAAAAAATTAATCAAAACAAAGTTTTTTTAAAAAAATAATACTTTGAAAACATATTTGAAATTCAAGTGAATTGCAGTCTTTTCCTGATGAGTGTTAAGTGGTATCCAAAATAATCATCTCACCTCTGCTCTGTTCCTGGACAAAAGTACCAATCGATGGTTGGCTCTGGGAATCCTGTGGCCACGCACTGCAGCATGCCGTTCACCAGCCTCTCATGTGTCAGGATTTCTGGTTTTGCTGGAGGAAGAGAGAAGCGGCCATATTTCAGACTGCTGGAAAACCTCATCAAGGCTCCCTCCACAATTTCTGAATCTTTAAAAACTTTCTCAAGGCTTAAGAGGACCCTGAGAGAACATGCTGCTCAAAGGGGAGAATGTGAACCAGTGAATGGAAGGTGCAGGGAGGTGGATATGAAGGTTTGACCAAGAAAAAGGCTTCCCCGGCTAGAGCTACTCATCCCCCGTGTGGACTGTTCATCCTGTGGATGTGGGAGTCTCCGAGCTCTCCCTGCCTCGGGGACGACTGAGGCTGCAGGACCACCTGGCCAGGTTTCTGTTCCCAGGGAGAGAGAACCGGAAAGATGGGTTCTATCAGGATTCTAGGGTTCCCAACTGTCTAACGGGTGAAAATGCTGAAGCTCCAATACTCTTGGCCACATGATGGGAAAAGACGACTCATTCAAATATACCCTGATACTGAGAAAGATTGAGGGCAGGAGGAGAAGAGTGTGGCAGAGGATGAGATTGTTGGATGGCATCACCAACTCAACGAACATGAACTTGGGCAAAGTCTGGGAGATAGTGAGGGACAGGGAAGCCTGGTGTGCTGCAGTCCATGAGGTTGCAAAGAGTCAGACGTGACTTAACAACAACACTGTTTATTACAGGATTCCTGCCATCAGACTCTCAAATGATTCAAAGACTCACTGGAATTTCAAGTTATTGCAGGAACTAGAATAAATTAGGAGGAGTTATGGGAAAAGAGAAGATGCCTGCTCGGAAATTTCCCCCCTCCTTTTTTTGATGGGGGTGTGGAAGGGGTGGTGAAGACAAGGAGCTGAATCACCCTTTTTAAAGAGAAGCCAAAACATCAGAGTAAAACACAATATGGGCTTTTAACTCCAAACTTTTATTTCAAATGCAAAAGAGGAATAGAAAATTAGAAGAGGAAACCAGGCCAAGAGTTTTACTCATACATATGTCTAAACCTGAGTACAATCACTGAAAAAGTAAACTGTATCAGCAGGAATGCTCTAATTTGACATTTCTGTGTAGCTATAATAATCAACTGATATTCAATCAAAGGTACCCTGCAAATTCTTGAGATTAGTGAACGGAAAATGAACTTACATTCAGCTGTTCTACTGGTAATACACTTGAAGGACTCACACCCCCTGAGAATGAGTAAGCTACACTGGCAGAGATGGTGATGAGCACATCCAGTGTCCCTGGTACAGCATCGCAGGTGCCGACCCCGAGCCTCTGCACAGAGCTACGGGCAGCCACGTGCGTGGCAGGCAGACCTGTATCCAAGCGCGGGCCCTTGGTGGCTCTCACGAGTCTCCGGGTATCCAATGCGAATAACAACAGTAACAACAGGAACTCTTCATAGTGATGTTGTGACGATGAAATGAAATGATTCTTGACAAGGAATCAAGAATGATTCACAGAAATCAAACAGAAAAAGCATTCATTAATGGGACTTCCCTGGTGCTTCAGTGACTAAGACTCCACGTCCCAGTGCAGGGGGCCTGGGTTTGATCCCTCTTGTCAGGGAACAAGATCCCACATGCCTTGACTAAGACCCAGAACAGCCAGTAAATAAATTTTAAAAATATTTTTTAAAAAGCATTAATTACTAATTTATTACTCATTTATTATTTTTTCTCCTTAGACTACCCACTCTCCTAGGTTAATCAAGTGTGGTAGCAATTAGGTTAACTGTATTGGTCATTCTAAATATTCTCTTCAATATCTAAAGATATTAGATATTGAAGAGAAACTGCTTAAGACAGCATGATAACATGTATGTGTTTTAACCTGAAGAACTGGGAATTTGACATTGATTACATGACATCAATTACAATGGTCAGAGGAAAAGGCCAACAGGTCAGAAACTAATTTCTTCGAAGGAAGGCAATGCTGATAAATGACATCTTTGTAGAACAACCTCTCAGCACCTCACCTCCTTGCAGGCACAATGGCTTGGCAGGGATCAAAGTGTCTGCATGCATGGCACACCCACCTGTCATTCAACCTGGCCCTGCTGACGGGCAGGCCGTTTGGCTAACACACACAAAAGAGCAACACTCCAAAAGCAATCTCAAGGTAGGGGCATCCTTGAGAGCTTGGATCCAATGCCAGCTTTCACAAATAGAGCAAGAAGACAAGCCGTTGTCTTGTGAAAGCATCCATCTGGCAAGTTTCATTTAATTATCATGGGCAACTGTGTGACCAGGCTGAAAAGTAGGACATAACACAGAAACAGTGGAACTTTAGGAGAATGCTATTTGCTGAAGACGGCAGGCGCCATACGGCAGGTCTCTCTGGACTCAATTCAAGTGTCATCTCCTTCTCCTAGCCATCCTCAACTCTCCAAAGCCAAGTTGGTTGGTCTCGCATCCCTACTCCTGAAGCACTTTAGAGCACCTGACGCACTTCTAAAATACCTGGTCTGCCTCCGTCCGACTGTTCTCAAAGGCAAGGACCATGTCTTATGGATTGTACCTCTGACTCCTAGCGGAGTCTGACCTATTGCAGACACAAAATAAGAGCTGTTCATTATTAAGTCCTACCAAAGAAACAAGTCCTTCAAATTCCAAAGGAATTCCATGAGTGTCATAAGAGGGGACCTGGAAGAAGAGCCTGATGGTGCCTTTCCTGTGTTACACCATTTTTGCAATAGTGGGCCACGAGATAAGAAGCCCGCACATACACCTGGCCATGTGGATTTTTTCTTCCATACTGAGATTAACGATGAGAGGAGAAGGTCCACACACAGACAGCAAAGATAACTGGACAGACTCCAACTGGACAGAATTCAAATGGGAATCAAGTTCATAAGACAGATTTCCTCATAACAACCTCCCTCTTGTCATTCATTGTTCCTAATGCCACATGCTGGATTTTTTAATGGAATTAAATGTTACTCAGTAGGAAAAAAAGGGGGGCTGAAAGGATGCTTTATGATGTTCATGGTTGTTATCTCTGGGTAGTAGAGTTATACATAAATATGTTTCATTCTTTTGACTTATTTTCTAATTTTTTTTAACAATGAACACAGCTAATAATAAACTTATAAAACATTTTTAATTTAAAAAATTGGAACAGCTGAAAATTACATAATCAATTACATTTAGCTTTGGTTACAAGTGCCCTAAGATCCAAGCCTTCCAGCGTGACACCTGGTAGCAGTTATACAATGGCCAGGGCTGGCAAACAGTGTGGTCCGGCTGGCCTACTTGTTCCTCTGTGCTGGTTAATCAGGCACATTTTTAAGCTACTATCCCAACTATAACCTGAGGCAAGCCAAGCAGCTTTTGTCCTGTTGGCCTGTAGGCTGGCCAACCAAGCTCAGAGGGCCCCTGAAACTTCAAGGTGCATTTAAAGCACAGAGAGATGAGGTTAAAAAGCACATTCCTGGCCCACCTCACCTCCCCCAAGATTAAGTAATTTGAGAATCTGACCCAGAAGTGGGGTTATTTTAGAGAATCTTCAAGGGACCCCATCAGGGCCAGGACAAGGATGTGGCAAGAAAAACACCTAAGGTGAGGAATTTGAGAAGGCTCTCATCCTCCAGATCCTGCAGACTCAGGTAGACACCAAGAGAGGGGGATCGGGATGGGGAATACATGTAAATCCATGGCTAATTCATGTCAATGTATGACAAAAACCACTACAATATTGTAAAGTAACTAGCCTCCAACCAATCAAAATAAATGAAAAAAAAAAAAAAAAAGAGTGAGCACCTCCTTAAATTCTGCACCCTAGGCATCTCTCTTGCCTCATCCTAATTCCAGCCCTGTCCCTAATGCTGGTGACAAGAGACTTCATTCTGAAAGGGCTAAATTACATGAGTACAGCTTGGGCTATACGTGGCAAGTTGCACAAGGAACATGTTTAATGCATAAAGAATGAGCTAGGTATAATTCTGATTCCTAAAAATGAAAATCTGGGCTCATCTGCATTTTGTAAGTGCCTCAACGCACCGTCTAAGTCATTAAATATACATTTTGCTTTTAAAGATACATAACTCCCTGCAATTCGCCAGGTTAAATCTGAGCTGTGTTTTCTTAGATATTCTGCAATCAGCAGTATACCAAATGACACATTCCCTAAATCCTCCCAAGTTGGAGGTTTAGATAAGCCTAAGAGGTGTATAAGTTATGTATTTCCTGTAGAGATAAAAAAAATAGTCTTGTCTCCTTTCAAAGCACTGTGGACCTGAGTCATCTTGCATCTACGACAACACTGATCAGCTTGTAGGCAGATTTCAGAATGCTTATAACTCTTCTGAGAATTTATTGCTCATGCAATTAAAAATCCCAACCACTTGCTGATTTATCCCACAGATATATGATCTTAAAAAAATATTCCTTTCACCACCATCAGGTCCATACAGAAGACAAGAACAAGTTGAATTTTAAAGAACACAGCACAGATGATAGGAGTAGGGGGCCTGGGGATGGGAGGAGGTATACAAGTAACTGATGGGAAAGAGATGATCATAGTTTTTGGCTCACCCTAACCGACTCCACCAACTCTTGCTACAAACACACATCTGCCCACACTCTCTAATCAGCAAAGAACACAGACGTTAGTGTCCATATGTGTGTGTGTGTGTGTGTGTGTGTGTGTGTACATTTGTGTGTCCAACTCTGTGACCCCAGGGACTATAGCCCACCAGGCTCCTCTGTCCATGGGATTTTCCAGGCAAGAATACTGGAGTGGGTTGCCATTTCCCTCTCCAGGGGATCTTTCTGACCCAGGGATCGAACCTGCATCTCCTGCATTGGCAGGTGGATTCTTTACCACTGAACCACCTGGGAAGCCCAAGTGTCCATATAACAAAAGACTAAATGAAGAGGAACCATAAGGATGGATTTGTCTTTACAACTGTAGGTCTGATGACATTTAACACCAACACAGTGATGCTTTGTAGCAATTTGTCACTATCCTGATTTGGATCTGGGTCAAATACACATTCCTGCCATAATATCATTATAATATAGGAATTTA